CCTTCCTACCTATAATGTCTTTTTCCTTCATGTTGCACATGTTCTCATGTCTGTTTTGATAACAGTATTTTTCCTGCTAGTATAAAAAAATACTAAGTCCCAAGTTTGCACCTGAGTATATTGTGTGGCAGTTCCCAGAGTACTGTTTTTTAGCTGGGATGAGACTGGCCTATGTCAGACCCAGATAACTGATCCATTGCATGTAAAGGTAAAGCAAGTGAGGTACCAGAGGAAGATAAGGGTGAAGGTCATGCCAATTAGCAAAACCTTTATGAAGTTTTTCTCAGGAAAGAAATTAGGTAAAGCCTGTTAACATCAAATCAAATAACTAATTTCATAGTCCATCCTCTCTAAACACAGTCACAGTCCCTCTTCCTGTGTCTTGCCAATAACAAACAAATTTGTAGTCTTTGAAATGGCAGGGGAAGGGCTGCCCACCTCTCCATAGCTCAGCACCACTCTTTCACCTGCCCCGGCACTTCATCTTCGGGGCATCAGGCATGGTCTTTTGCTGGCTTTGTTGTACCAGAGTATGTTTGTTGTGCACTGATGTTGGGAAATGAGCTGAATGACATGGCACCCCATAAAATGGAAACAATGGTTTTTCTTTAAATGTCACTTTTTGCTCTTGTGAGAAGGTCATGGAGGTACCAGTCATCCTCTTCTGCCAGATGCTTGGAAGTAATTTACAGAAATACAGCTTTCAGGGTCATTGTTTCCCAAAGTCACAAAAACTCTCCATGTTGTCCAATGGAGACCTAATTATTATCATCTCTGACTCATCAGTGGGTCTCTGAATGTCTCTGGTTGTTCAGAGAAACCTTAACATTTTCAGGCTGGACTAGTTTATCTCCACAGTTCACTGTTAGAAATAGCAGAGATGTCACTTGTCTTAAAATATATGGTCTGCTGTTCCATTCCTAAAGGTGCTGTTATGCTAACAATAAATCTGCAAGAGACTGCAGGCAGAGTCTGGGATGTGATGTATTCAATATTCATCATGCTGTGACCCAAAGGAGTATGAGGGCACTTTACATCATGAAATTTCTCTCCTTAATTTAGCAGTTTCAAAATGATGGGCCAAAATACAGCCTGGGAGGTTGCGGTTGCATCTTCAATTGAATTTAAGCCAGTAAGCCAAAGGACTGTGTAAAAATACATTTACTGCCTCATTTTCAAACCAAAGGTTCAGACTGTCTGGTTTGGCTTTTAATATTTATATTGTCTATAGCTAATTTTAAGAGCCTGATAGCTTTTACTGACATTTTCCTTTTTCCTCATCTTTACCCCTGGAAAACCTATTTGCTTCCATGATGGGGTCAAGACAATCAGCAGAGCAAAGGAGAGTTGCAAAGGCCATCTCTATATTCAAGACTGCGTGTTTTTATTTGAAGGGCAGAAGACACCAGGAATCAGATAAGAAAGGGGTCATGACAGCCTTTAGAAATGGGAGGGACACAAAAAATTTGCAGAAGCTGTCCAAGAGGAAGACAGAAACTGCAGAAATAATGAGATAACTCCTTTTCTTGAACAGTAAAGAGAATTGAAAGAAGGAAGCAGGGAAGCTCAAATATTTGCTATGAAACTGGTGCCAAAGAAGGACTGTACATAAGCTGCTGTGTAAGGAGCTACCAGTCGACTTCTGTTTCCACAGTGTCATATACTTAGGTCAGACACTGGAAAATCAAACTCTGCCAGTTTCTCTTCTTGCCTAAGATCTGCAACCAGTATTTACCCTGTATTCCTAAACTGAGTAATAGCAGAGGGTGGGAGAATGGATTTTGCGACATATTTATGATCAAATTATTCTTTGCATTAGAACATAGGGCAGAATTCATAAATCCTTTTAGACAGAGAAGCCATGGAGGGACCAGAGAGACAGATGGATGAGGCGCTTGTTGTGTGGACAACATGCTGTAGAATCAGGTGTGGCACCCAGTTCCAATCAGCAGTCTAAGCTGCAACTGATGGATACTTAAGACAGCTTCCTCTCTCAAAATTATATTGCTGGCAACCAGCCTTGCACAATAAGTCCAGAGAAAGGAGCACAAGCTCCTTTCCTCAAGGAAAATTTGAGACAATTCTGGTGCAAAGTAAAAATTGTTTCTTTCTTGAGCACTTTGGACACTTTACTGTTCATACCAGCTTCTCAAACTTCTGTCTCAATCTTTAATCCCGAAAGAGAGGGCTCTTTCTTAACATATTAATATCAAGTGACGTTTAAATCCTAACAATAGTGTAAGAATATAGTGGTCAGGCCTCCTTGTAGCAAGTACACAGAACTTAAAGTAGTGATCTCTGAGTTTATCTTAATCAACATTCTTGCCTCTGGTGCTCTGCTTAGATCAGATTATCTCATTTAAATAACAATGGGTTATGAAAAAAAAGTCTAATCTGTTCCCTTGCTGTGCCACTGTATATGCATACATTATTTTATTTAATCTCCTAAGGCACTTGCAAGAAAACCCAAAGACCCTTGTCAAGCCACATAAAAAAGTCTGCTGGAATATAAGGATGGGAGGGAATATTACTCTTTTGCAATCTTTCCATATAGAGAGAATATAAAGGACGATTAAGTAATTGAATTAGTGGGTTTGGGGGGTAGTAACACCTAACTCTGCTGTACAGCCCATTTAATCCTTAGATTTATCTCAATATCATTTTAATACCATGTCTGGTAGAACTGAGGTAGAAATGAAGAAATGACTGACCAATGTCATCTAAGAACCTGAATTACCTTCCAAGCCACCAGCCACAAGACTGCTCTGACTAGTTCCTAATTTTCCCACTTGGTCCTATCACTCCTAAATTGATGTAAACAGTCTGTGTAATAAAGAAGTTTTGCAAACAACTACAGGTTTGACTGTTACAATCAAGCATATTTCAGAATGCCATGGAGTGAAAATCAGCATAGCTCCACTGAAATCAATGGGGTTAATTTATACCCAGGTGTAAATTAACTTATCTCAGTGAAGACAGTGGGAGCTTTTGCTGTTCCTTTAATTGACATCAGGTTCAGGACAAAGGTGCAGCTGAGATCTACTCTTGGTGCCTGGGAATAGGGAACATTGAGATTTTTATCTATTGTTAAGTCTTCACAAAAACACATTAACGTAAAAATGAGTTGCTAGTATCTTTTAACTCAGTTGGCTGAGGATACTGGTCTCATTAAAAGATGATCCTCCAGCAAGTAAGATGAAGATGACAAAATGTTTGAAAAATGAAAGCTTTGTAGAAAGATGTGAAGGAAAAGGTTATATTTGGAAATACAAAACATGGTATAAAAATATCTTGTCCATCACCAAGCTGTACTGCAACCCAGTGATTCATATTCCAGGATCACCACCTACTTCAAAACTGCTAAAAGGAATTATAGGGGAATTATAGGGGAATCCTGAACTCTCAACGGTTGGTACAAGTCCTTTGCTTAGACTGATAAAGAAAGAAATGATCTGTAGGAAGTACTCAAGAGAGCTGGTAGATGCTGTGGTGGTGCAGTGGGCAATTAAAGGGAAGGCTGGGGTTCTAAATAGCTTGTTGTGTTTTGTTTAGCATATCTGGACCTAAATAAGTAACTGCCTGCTTGAAATCTCTACAAATGCTTTAATATGAAGTCCTTAACATGTTGGCTGTTTGTTACTGAAATAGACATTTAATATTGATTTAACACAGTCTGATCCTGAGATTTATATTTTTACCTGGTATCTCTTAGATAAAATATTATCTAATTTAATTTAAATATTTAAAAATGCTACCGAGTCTGCACTCTGATTCTGTCTCTTCCTTTCAAACAGCTGCTGACTCCTGCACTACATAATTAATTTAAGTATTGTTTGAGGTTACTTTAATACAATTTTCTCGTAAGCACATGAGTAACATCCCAGCTATTTAGAGTTCAATACATTAATTGAAGACAAAAGGCAGTTGTCATGGTTTCTACCACAGACGAGTGTGACGGGTCAGGTCATCCCCAAATTCATTATAACCTCAACAATTCAGTTACCATTTTGTGTCTGTTTTTAGATGAATTTGTAATGAGTCACATGAGTTAATCCCATTTATATGGTTTTATGAAGAAGGATTGTCAAGTTATGTGCTTTGAATTAGAAGAAAGGTTCAAAAAAGGATGAACTCAGAGTACCAAACCCTCACTGTGAACAGTGCCCAGCCAGGCAGAAATGAACATTTTACCTCACAGTATGTTAGCAACATGCTGATGTTTTAATTAAGCACAAGGGATATTTAAGGAGAATGACGTAAAACAGTCTTGCTTCCCCCAACCACACTGCCCTCTGAATACAACCTGAGGACTGACAGGATGCCCAGCACTTGGTTCAGTTACAGGATAGGTTGCATGAGGGTCTATCATCATGCCAACAGGAGGCTAAGAAGGAACATTTGCATTTGCTTTGGTCATTAAGCAAGATTTTCTTTCATTTTTAGTGTTTATATTTTGATAGTCCTTATGATTCTTACCTATTTTGAACTTCATACATGAATGCTTTTATTTGTCTTCAAGTTAAATGTGATTTCAGTCGGGCCCTTTGCTAGTATGGAGGCATTTGAAGGGCATGCTATTAACTCTGGAATTTAAACCATCTATGCAACATTCCCATACACCTCACTAAACAGTTCTGGCTTTTAATCCACTCCATTTGCTGTCTTGGGAGTTAGTCATGCTATGGCTAAGAGATGTCTTTCATGTGTATATTGTTAGCCAAGTGACAATAAGTACTTTTTTTTCAATGTTACAGTTCATAATATTTTTTAAAGCTATTACCTGGAGTACAGCTTTCTTATGATCTTGGAACGTGTTTTCCTGGTTCAAAGGCAGCATCTTGTGTTGCTTAAAATTAAAGCATGTCCTAACGAAAAGCTCCTTAGTCACTTGTTCATGCGAGTAAGTACTGTTAGTTTTGGTAATTGCTTCTCCTTTCTAGAAGAATTATGATACTGATAAAGATTTATCAATCACAAACACTAATAGTGGAACATTTTACCTGTGCTGCAGCTCATGAATGGCAGCAGACTTATTAGTTTCCATAGCAACACCATCTCCACTTTCCAAGGTCAAAAATTGCTCCCATCCAATCAGTGGAAAATAAAGGGTGGCCTCCTGTGACTACCTTGATATCCTGTAAAAACAGGAAGAGATATCAAATAATTAAAGTGCAGATTCAAAATAAATACTCAAATTTTCCCCATGTAAAATCATGTTCGACTGTACCATTTTAAGACATTAAAAATGCAATAAATAGTCTAGATAGGATCATCCCAGCATGAAAAATCATTCCCAAATCACACAAAGCTGGCAACGAGATCAATTAAAATCATGCATATTGTTTGAGACCCATCCACCCACTCCATGTGGTACAGAGATCACTTGCACCGAAGTGAGTTTCTCCAAATAAGAAAGAAAAATTGGCCAAAAGTTTCCAGATTAGAAGAAAGTAGTTGCAAAAATGTTGCAAAAGTCTTAAATCTTTGTAACACTTTATGATGTTTCTTGCCCTATAACAGTATGGCTTCTGTTCCCAGAAACTATCCTTTTGTGAAGGTACTGCAACGTAAGCAGGTACTAATGCAAAATGGTAGGTCTCATATGGGATGAGAGGGCGACACAATGTCATATATACACTATGTAAAAAAAACAACCAAACTTCTTTTTTGTTGACCTTTATTCTTCAGAAATGAAACATTCACCCATAAGGATTTACATAGCAATTTGCTTTAATTTGCTTTGACATTTCAGTCAATATATGATGAATTTAACCAGGAAAAATGTTTCTGTTTGGCCTACACTCCCAAAGGGCAAACTAGTAATTTACTGTTGGGAATCAGTTCATAAAACAGCTGAAACCAGAAATCACTTAATAAAATGGGTTTACAAAATCATAAAATCATTCTAAACCTTTTAAGTGCTGAAAATTTTCCCCTGAGAAATACATTTATGATCCACACTTACAGATCCATATTATCTTCTCACTTATCTCATTTTTCATACCAGTGTGAAAACTTACCATACAGGCTTGCCCTGAAACTTATTGTTAATTTGAGTGAGAAAGACGGTTTTTTAGAAAATTAAAAAGTTCAACTCTTTTGAAAGTCATTTCGCTTCTATAAGGGACCTAATTCTGTTCTTAGGTTATAAACTTCACTTAAAAATAGTAGGTGGTCTCAGGGGAGACACATGTAAACCTGGTGCACCTTTGCTAGCTGCCATTTCAGGCAGGGAATGATCAAACCTTGACATAAGCTTTCACGATTTAACAAAAAAAAAAAAAGGATGGAAAAAGCAGAGTTTCTTTTAACCTTCTATGAGGTCCTACTTCACACACATCTGGGGTCTGCTGAAGCACTTCACGCATTTAAAAGTATAAATGGCTTCAGCCTTGTAAAAAAAAACAGAAATTTCATTCAATGCTTATTTCAAGAGCATTTCCCAGTGCTGCCTACTCTGGTCCCACCCAAATCCTTTTCCTCAGGATTTCTCAAACAAGTCCCATTTCTGGTCATTGCACATTTGGTGTGTGAGTTATTTTGTGCAGCTCACCTGAAATCCATTTTAAAGGTACAAGAGTTGCCAAAGGTAATTATAGCTCAAAAGAAAAAGGACTTGAACCCTCCAATGTTACTCATGTTACCCAGAGGAAATATTCTGAATAACAAAAAGAAACACCTATAAAATCCAACTAACTGACCAGATCCATTCTTTTCCAAGACACTTGCCCTTTCTTACAAGGCCAGATCCTTCTGAAAAACTCTCTGCCTTCTATTCTCTTTCTGGGTTATACATGAGTTGTTTAAAACTGAGAAGCAAGCACCCACTGCTGTCAATATCCAGAATATACACCCAAACCTCTTTGTATTCATATCAGGTATTGATCAGTCCTCAGCTCTGTATTTTTATGCTTCTAAGATTGAAAATTATGGGGCATTATTGTAAATATATATATATATACACACACATTTTCTTTAAGTAACCCAACTGTTTTACTTGTTTTTCTCTGACAAGCACAAGGACCTAACTGGCAAGCAGGCACTTAATAATTTTTACAACATCTTTGCAACAGCAGCTTCCATGGGATTATTTACTGTCAAACTAAATCAAGAATAAATGAAAAAAATGAAATATTTATAGCATAAGAAAAATCTGGTTCAGACTAGAAATCCCAGGCTGGCATTAAATCAAGAAATGTAACAAGATAAATTGTGCCATCATACTCTTTGTTTTCTGGATGTAACACTATCACTTATTCTAATTGTTATGCCACAGTTTGAACAGTCAGTCTTAGATAGATAGATGGAAAACAAAGTATGTTAAATATGATCATGGGGGAAAAATTACTTTTCCCCCTAAAAATACTGATCACATGTCCATTTGTCAGCAGTATATAATTTACAAATGCATTTTTATGAAAGTAGTCAGCATAATTTTTTGTTGTTTTCCTGCTAGAAAGGACAAATCCATAGGAAAGGACTCAACCCTCAAATACTTTTTAGCTGTCACTTTTTCTTCTCATCTGTGGGGGAAGGAAAGATGTCTGTCTATTCCTGAGACATCCAAATGCCATGTCTGGGACATACAGGGGTATATATGAGATGAAGAGCTAGAAACACTGTAGTGGATAAGGGTGGCTGAAGTGAGTATGGGGGAAATACACCGTTCAGCTATGGCTCCGCAGGCAGAACAGTACCAAGCTGCTGCCTGGATGGGTTGTGCAACAGCCACTTCTCATTGCAAATACCTTGAATAATATTGTAAGAAAGAGCACAAATGTACTGCTTTCATGAAACATTTCTTTTCAGATATGTGGAATATCGAAAATTTCAGTCTAAACATGGGATATAGGTAGATGTATATTAACTTAGTGGCATTGCACTTTTAACACAGAGGGAAAGGCTTTTTGTCATGTGTCTGAAGCTTGCAGTTGTATTGTTGTTTTACCCTGGAAATGGAATTTAGAAGGAGATATGTTATAGATTAATTTATTAATTAAAAAGGTCTGACATATATTTAGTACATTAGCATAAGCATCAATATTTTCTTCTTTATTGAGCTGAAGCTCAACCTTGTTTGTAGCCTTTAGGTTTCAAGACCTATACCTTCTTCAACTGCTTATTTTTTGAGCAGCAAAACACAAGATCAAGTCTGTGACAAAGAAGAAAATGCATTTCTGGTGTCATCTGATTTTTCATGAAAATATGCACCATTTCACTTTTCTGCCTGTTAGTTTTGTAAAAGCTAGACAGAGTTGGTTCAGGTGGCAAACTGACATCTTTCTGAGGTAAAAGTTGTCAGGCAGTGGGGATGATGAGATTTTGCTCTTAGCTAAATTCAAGCAAATTGACATTTTTACCCATGGCAAAATGTAGCTATGTTATAGAAATAGCAACTTTTTGACCTGGTGAAAGGAACAGTGTTTAACAACAGGGATTTGGGATTAAATTCCACAGTGGTGAGGGCAGAAGAGCTTCATTCCAGGGCTAGTATATTGGTGTAACCACCTATAGAAAGAGATCTCTTGAATGCATATGGGAGGAAAAGAATAAAAATGTGAAGACGCTGTAATCCAGGGAGTGCATGCATTGCCTTTTTATTCTGCAGCCTCAGCTTTCCCTCCCACCAGCTTCCACACATCTATATTATCTTTTGAATTTGGCCTTACATACTTCTGTATTCTTCATCTGCCAGGAAATAAGCTGAGTCTGTCCCAGCTAGGCTTGCATTCTTGGCACACCATTGCTCCTGATCTCTATATTGTTTCCTGAGCACCTGATTTGAAGGCACCTAATGTGAATTTTCTCATGAATGCCAATGATATACAGCTACATTTTTCTTTTCTAACTTTTTATCCCTGAGGCTCTTTCTGCCCTCAAACTATTTTCCAGATATCCATAACAGACTGAATAGCAAACACTTGTAACTACCAGAGCACAAGCAGAAGCAACCAGTTTCACAGTCTCCAGCAAGATTTACCTATGCTGGTTTAGTACCTACTGCTTATTTAAAATTACTGAACCATATTTTGAAGGAGGAAAGTACCCCATGTTATTTAACCAAAGTTTTTTGATACTGATCACTCCTATTCTTCCCTTTTCACAAATAGACTTAGATATTCATTTGTTTTTCACTCCTGACTGCTGCTGCTTACTTTTCCTAGGGAAAAAGAAAATATTGTAGCTTATTTGCAATTCAAATTCAGTACAAAAAGCTTTTGGAGAAGGTTTAAATCTTCTGTTTTCAAAACTTTTTCCTAAATCCTAAAAAGTTCATTGTTTTTGAGGTAACATTGGGACTTCCATTTGGTGTGACACTGTAGATGCTTTTGTTTCTCAAACTTGAAGCACTTCAATGGCATGTTGCTGTTGCAATGCACTAGTAAGGTATTAGTGAACTAAAATATGCTACCAATTTACTTTCACCAAAACATTACACATGCACTGGTTTAATGCAATAGCACAAACATTTGTGTGGGCATTCACAACTGTAAGTAACTGTGTCTCGATAGGAGAGAAGAAATGAGAGAATTTCCTGTATTTAACCCAAACATAAAGACTGAAAGATATAAACCCCAGTGTGTCACATTGTTGACTAATCAGCATAAAAATGTCTTTCAACACTAAACTGCTGAAGCCGTAATGAATATAACTGTTGTAATACAATCACAGCCCTCGTGCTTAACCAAGCCTTAGGAAAGCACAGTAAAGATGCAGTTATTCATATGAACCATGTCATTTGGAGCTTATTTACTACTACTTTGATATTCTTTTTTTCAGTTTATACACAGTATGCAGTGCCAGTAATCATCCTGAAAGGGATGTCTTATGGGCTTCACATACTCACATTGTTCATGCTCCAACACTGCTGGTAGTGTTTCCTTGTAACTTAGGAGGCATAGGCATATTAGCTTTTTATATATGTATGTGTCTGTATGTATATATGTATGTGAGTATGTGCATATATACAATGTACAAACATAGGCATAATTTGACTCAGTCATTTCAAATGTCTCTTTTTTTGACATACAAAATTATGGTGCTATTTCTGCTCTTTGCAGTGATACATACGATAAATAGAGACAGAAATTTCTGATGGTGTAGTGGGATAAAGCTGGCACAGAAGTTGGTTTTG